GGGAGATGAATTACGGTTGATGAAAGAGGCTGAGGGCTGATGAAAGTCATCCTGGTAGAGGGACGGGGCTATTACCGATGGTGGGAAGGCATGGTGGCCGTCAGCAGCAACAGTCTGGTGCAACGCGCTACACACCAGGGGGCTCTTAAACGTTATGACGCCAGGTGTCACCACCTTCAGCTCCGTCATAAATCTTTAAAGGACCCAATAAAAGTTGCTTATTTTCTCCGCTGTAGAAGCTCGAATTTCTCCATTCTTGTATCTTAGACTGGTGGTATCTTTTGGAGTGGATGGTATCTTTTGGAGTGGGTGGTATCTTTTGGAGTGGGTGATATCTTTTGGAGTGGGGGATAACTTTTGGAGTGAGGGATATCTTTTGGAGTGAGGGATAACTTTTGGAGTGGGGGATATCTTTTGTAGTCAGTGGTATCTTTTGGAGTGGGGGATATCTTTTGTAGTCAGTGGTATCTTTTGGAGTGGGGATATCTTTTGGAGTGGGGATATCTTTTGGAGAGGGGGATATCTTTTGGAGTGGGGGATATCTTTTGGAGTGGGGGATATCTTTGATATCTTTTGTAGTCAGTGGTATCTTTTGGAGTGGTGGATATCTTTTGGAGTGGGGGATATATTTTGGAGTGGGTGGTATCTTTTGTAGTGAGTGATATCTTTTGTAGTGGGGGATATCTTTTGGAGTGGGAGATATCTTTTGGAGTGGGGGATATTTTTTGGAGTGGGGGATATCTTTGATATCTTTTGTAGTCAGTGGTATCTTTTGGAGTGGGTGGTATCTTTTGTAGTGGGTGGTATCTTTTGTAGTAAGTGGTATCTTTTGTAGTGGGTGGTATCTTTTGTAGTGGGTGGTATCTTTTGTAGTCAGTGGTATCTTTTGTAGTGGGTAGTATCTTTTGTAGTAAGTGGTACCTTTTGTAGCTAGTGGTACCTTTTGTAGCTAGTGGTATCTTTTGTAGTTAGTGGTATCTTGTGTAGCCTGAGGCAACTTTTGTAGTTGGCGGAGTCTTTGGAAATCCTTAAATGCCAAATTTGTATTTATTATTAAAAGAAGATCATCATGAAAACTGTTCTCACTTGGGTTCTATAAGTAATCATACTTGTAAAAGCTCTCTGAGAAATGCTTACCAACAAAACAGTTTTCTACTTGCAGGCGATGAGTCACAATAACGTGGCTAAAGTAAGTTGACCAGACCACACACTAAAAGGTGAAGGGACGACGACGTTTCGGTTCGTCCTGGGCCATTCTCAAGTCGGTCCGTCCTGGACCATTCTCAAGTCGAACAATCGACTTGAGAATGGTCCAGGACGGACCGAAACGTCGTCGTCCCTTCACCTTCTAGTATGTGGTCTGGTCAACAGTTTTCAACTTGTGTTTTCCAATAATCCTACAAAATTTTTTTATTTAAAGCGTACAGATTCTTTTACCTTTGATCTCAGATCGGGTAAAGGAAGAAATATATATGTTTACCACTCCGAATGTTCGGTAATATGTTTATTGTGTTGTGTGTATATGTAGGTATGAACACGCTGTACTGAGCGGGGTGAGAATAGCTTGAGCTACCTCATCCCTTTGTGGGTATTTATACCTCAATAAACTTATTTCAATATATATTTCAATCTCAGATCTGGTGCAGTGTGTACTTAAAGTACAGGTTTGTCCTGTAGGCTGGTGGCCGCCTCACGAACAGTAATCACGGTAAAGCCTTTAGAAATCCTTACACTTACGGTGACGGCTGGACCGCAAAGACACACTCAGCAGTTTTAATGTAATGCATATTCTGGGTTTTTCTACGATATAAATTAACATTATATAATACATTTTCTGTATAGTTAGGCGTGTGTTAAGTTAATTTAGGTATTTAGATTTTGTTGGCGATTATTTGTAATTGCCGTAATGTGCGTGAGTGAAGCATTTACAGAGGTAACATTCGAACAGTGGATGTAATGGGAACATGTAGCTTCATCAGATGTGAATTGTGTATAAAGTTTTTTCATTCGTAAATGTAGGGGTTTGGCGGCTGGATTAACGAACATTTTTCCTTTGTTTATGATGATTGGCTGCTGTACTGGCCTCCAGTTCTTTTTGACTAGACCACAACACAACCCGTCCTCAGACCAAGTCCATTCCATCCGGCGGTCGACCCCAAGGACGCAGTCATTAATTTTAACATGCTGTTCATCCAAAATAAGAATTTTCTCAAATATAGATTATTATTATTATTACATATTAGCATATTGTGCCTATTTTGGCGTTGGTTAGGTTAGGGTAGGTGTTTAGGTTCTGTTGACGATTATTTGCATTTATCAACCTGTCCTCGACTTAAGTCCATTACATCCAGCGGTCGACCCCACAGACGCATTCATAAGTTTTTAGATGCTGTTCATTCAAAACGGGAATTTTCGTAAATATAAATTAATATTATATTAACATATTGTGCATATATATAGAAATAGGTTAGGTGTTTAGGTTCTGTTGGCGATTATTTGTATTTGTAGTACGTGGCTGAAGCATTTACGGCGTTGTGATTCGAATAAAATTCGTCAGTGAAGCACTTTTCCGGAAGTGTTCGAACATCATCAGTTGCTGTGAGTGTAAACCGTTTTTCATTCATAAACAGGGGGGTTTGGCGGGGTCCTTACATAAATTTCACATATATGCGAGTGTGGGTTTTTATCATAAAAACATTATAACAAGATGTAACAACTCTATTACAAGTTGTAACAAGGGAATCATAGGGACCGTTACGTTGTGTGTTGTGCAGGAGGGATTGTGTATGGAAAGATTACTGATCCTAGAGGTTTGTGTCTAGAAAGAATAATATATGCTGGTAATTGCGTCTGTAAATTGTTTTAATGAATTGTTTTGGTAAATTGTTGGTTGTTGTGGAAAATATTTGAAATCGGGATAAGAATTAATTTTAAAGATTCCTAATTTTCCTTCACATATAATTCATGCCGCCTATTTTTTGCTCTTTTAGAACTTAAGTAAATATTTAGCATCGTCAACAAAAATTATTACATCACATTACCAGCTACAACAATATTAATACACAAGCGTTGCCAATAGTGTTTGAAGCCTCAACACTAACAAATACACCAGTAATACCAATGGTATTACCAGCATTAACACTAACAAATACACCAGTAATACCAATGGTATTACCAGCATTAACACTAACAAATACACCAGTAATACCAATGGTATTACCAGTCTTAACAATAACAAATACACCAGTAATACCAATGGTATTACCAGCATTAACACTAACAAATACACCAGTAATACCAATGGTGTTACCAGTCTTAACAATAACAAATACAGCAGCGTTGCCAATAGTATAACCAGCCAAAATACATAAAAATACAACCCTCATCGACAACATCAGCACCGAAATACAAAAATAAAGAGAACAGCACAATCATAATAAAAAAATCATTAAAAATAAAAAAGCACAATCATAATAACAAAAATATATAGATAAATTAAAAAAAAAATACCAATGCCTATTGGTGGGTGGCCCTGGAGCTCCACAGTTACCACACAAAACTCAATTTCCTCCAACACTGAATGACTGCGAGGGGTTTCGCAAGCGTCTGGCAATAGTGGAAGAGAATGTTTTTGGTCATCTTTATTCCTGGTCTGAGGTGCCTTAAAGAGGCTTCGGTCTTACAGGAATTCTACCTGAAGCGAGTCTAGTGTTGTGAGCACCATTGAATGTTAGCATTGAGGAAGCGGGTAGGAATATGTAAGGAAAGAGAGAGAGAGAGAGGGAGGAGAGAAAAAGAATGATAAATTTGTTGTTGTAATAACAGCGTAATATTACCCAAAAGAATGGCGAAGTGAGTGAGATAAGACCTGTGCCATCTCAGTAAGTTACATTCAGGCAAAAATTATAACAAAACGGTTTCGTAAGAGTCTATGTTAAAGAATTGGTATTTTCCCAGAAGGGAATGAAGACCATCATTAACTCGTCGTTAAATAACATTCCGGGAGACCCTGTGATGGAATACAAAATGAAGGCTTTAGGTCTTAAAGGAATAAATGAGATTATGTAGTAAGTGAAGCAGGCAGTTGTACTCACCTAGTTGCATTCACCTAGTTGTGCTTGCGGGGGTTGAGCTCTGGCTCTTTGTTCCCGCCTCTCAACTGGTGTACAGATTCCTGAGCTTCTCAAGCTCTATCATATCTACATTTGAAACTGTATGGCGTCTGCCTCCACCACATCACTTTCTATTGCATTACATTTGTTAACTACTCTGATTCAGAAAACGTTCTTTCTAATGTCTCTGTGGCTCATTTGGGTACTCAGCTTCCACCTGTGTCCCCTTGTGCGTGTACCATTCGTGTTAAATAATCCATTCTTTTCTACCCTATCAGTTTCCCCTGATAATTTTGTATGTGGTGATCATGTCTCCCCGAGCTCTTCTGTCTTCTAGCGTCGTGAGGTGCATTTCCCGCAGCCTTTCCTCGTAATTCACGCCTCTTAGTTCTGGGACTAGCCTAGTGGCATACCACTGAACTTTTTCCAGCTTTGTCTTGTGCTTGACAAGGTACGGGCTCCATGCTGGCGCCGCATACTCCAGGACTGGTCTTACATACGTGGTGTACAAGATTCTGAATGATTCCTTACACAGGTTCCTGAATGCTGTTCTGATGCTAGCAAGCCTCGCATACGCCGCAGATGTTATTCTTTTGATGTGGGCTTCAGCAGACAGGTTTCATGTGATATCAACTCCTAGATCTTTCTCTTTGTCCGTTTCGTGAAGGGCTTCATCTCCGATTCAGTATCCAGTGTCTGGCCTCCTATTATCTCCTCCTAGTTTCATTACTTTACATTTACTTGGGTTGAACATTAGTAGCCATCAGTAGCCATACTGTCTTGGTCATCCTGTAGCCTCATATTATGTAACCTCATAATTTTTGCATAATCAGCAAACATTGAGAGGAACAAGTTTATTTCCTCTGGGAGATCATTTACATATATCAGGAACAGTAAAGGTCCAAGAACTGATCCCTCAGGGACTCCACTAGTGACGCCTCGCCACTCCGAGACCTCACCCCTCACAGTGACTCACTGTCTTCTGTTGTTTAGGTACTCCCTTATCCAATGGAGTACCTTCCCTTTCACTCCTGCCTGCATCTCCAGCTTGTGCACTAGTCTCTTATGTGGTACTGTGTCAAAGGCTTTCTGGCAAATCCAAAAATATGTAGTCTGCTCAGTCCTCACTTTCTTGCCTGATTTTTGTTGCCTGATCGTAGAGTTCTTTTAATGCTGTGAGGCATGACTAGCCATCCATGAACCCATGTTGATGTTGTGTTACAAAGTTTATTCGCTCCAGAAGTTCCACTAGCTTTTTTCGCAGAGAAAAAAGTGTGTGTGTGTGTGTGATTTGTGCAGCGTTTTGTGTTTGTGCGTTCGAGAGTCGTTTAAATCGTCAATATATTTTTTCAGCTCACTTCTTTCAATTTTCAACCTGTGTTTGAGACGGCTTTATCATCTTCTAATCTGTTCCACATATTTACCAATCTTCCACCAATTGTTTTCTCTAGCAAAAAGAGAAAACTAGCAAAGTTGCATCATATTCCTTCACTCTTTTAATTTACCTACAATGTATTTTGGTTTCCTTTTTCAATTTCCCTTTGAATCTTAAGCTTCGTTGTTATGACTTCCTTATTCTCTACCTCTGTTCCTTTCCACCTGTTCCTCCTTTTTCCATTAGCATCCTGTTCCCTCATTATTTTTTTGTCGGTCAATCTCCTCAGCTCAGAACTCAGCCTTAACTGGCATACAACTTGTTCAAACGTTGTAGAAACGTCGTAGTTTCGTTATGTGTTCGGTGGTATATTATTTTGTTAATGCTTGGGTATCACGTTAGTTTTTATTCAACGTAGACGTTGTTTCGTCTCCGACTCTGAACTGCGTCCCTACTTCAACATGTGCTGCTGCAGTTATCATCAATATGTTATTACCAATTTGTTATTGGTCCAGGTTCAAACTCATCTTTTTTTCAGATCTAATATCTCCCCTTTCACTGTTGTCCTCTGTTCCTATCCGTGTAGGTACTCCTTTACCAAACTCAAGTTTGAATATTTCCGTTTACTTTTTCACATATTTCTAAAATGTGTGTGTGTGTGTGTGTGTGTGTGTGTGTGTGTGTGTGTGTGTGTGTGTGTGTGTGTGTGTGTGTGTGTGTGTGTGTGTGTGTGTGTGTGTGTGTGTGTGTGTGTGTGTGTGTGTGTGTGTGTGTGTGTGTGTGTGTGTGTGTGTGTGTGTGTGTGTGGATATTTTAAGGAAATATTGGAAATTAGAGGAATTCAAGAAAGAATTCTTTAGGCTGAATCCATGTTGGTGTTTTGAGGTGAAATTCAACGCTTAGAAGTGATAATTAGTCTCCTGTTAATATTGCATTCAGCTACCACACTGACTGTCTGTCATATTCGTGCATGGATGATGATTGACAGTAAAAGTCGACTTCTTAATCATTTTGTAACTTTCACATGATAAAAGCCTCCCAACACTGTAGCCTCGTTTGTCATGTACTGACCCAAACCTGTAAATAAAATGTACAGTTTTATTCCCCTCCTACAATTACAGAACTTTACACATAGTTGATCAATAGAGGAACATCAAAACACTAAATTAAATATATTTATATGATGTGCAGTACGGGTGATTGTTTTCAATTGTGTTCTATTGTTTCATAAATTGGCTTTGGGAGAGGGCCTGCATGCGGGGGGAACTTTTCGGGTGGCTGTAAAAAAAAAAGAATTGTGAACCAAAAACAATGAATACATATGTTTTACGGAAACTGAATAACCCTTCACTGAAAAACAAAGCATACGTATGAAATTATATTAGTATTTAGGCATAAAAATCGTAAAAGTTGTTACAAATCCACAAGAGTGCGTGACGAGGATTCGAACCTGCGTCCAAGAGTTCATTTGATGCATCACGTTATTCTGATTTCTGTGTGTAGTAAAAGTTATTAATTTACGAAGCAAAATAATTGACAAATATTGGCAATAATTTTGGTGACGATTGGTTACATTTTGGTAAGCAGGTCAATATGTTGTCTTTAATCCGACTCTCTCATTGGCTGTGTGCTTAGTATTTACTCTTTGTGTCTGGCTGATCGGCTGTTAGCTCTTGGATTTATGTTCTTTATATATATAATACTTATTCAAATAAACCAATTAGAATTTTTTCGAAAATAACGAAAATCACCCCTGCCTGTTAGGTAAATCGGGTCTTGCATACTAGTCTGAGTAGTGCGTTCTGGGTATTAAGTACTACATTTTATATATATATATATATATATATATATATATATATATATATATATATATATATATATATATATATATATATATATATATATATATATATAAATATTTGAAAATATTTATTGCTTCACATTGTATTTTTGCCCTGAGAAATAATGAACATAATGCACGCTATTCGTAAGCTTTCTATTGACAGTAAACTTAAGTGAAAAATCTTCCCTGTGTAAATATATATATATATATCTAAAAATGGCAAACATTTATAAATTTTAGCCTCTATAGTAAATTTGATATGGGTGACTTGATCATTAAGTTTAGCTTGAAATTCATCTGAATTTAGATTTGTAGTACTTAATCTATCGACAACATATCTAAACCATGAAATGATTTAAGGGTAATTTTAGAAAGACATTTAAAAAAAATCGAAATGAAATTCTAAAAAAAAGTATTGCTAGCTACAGGGAGCTTGTTAAACGAAATTTGATTGAATCAGCCTCAACTAATCACTGTCCCAATACCCTTAACGTGAGTTCCGGCTTATATTAACTCGATCCAGTTTTTTGAGGCTCTATATTGTGCGAATCTTCAAAGAACAATAACTAAATTTCCACCACAGACGCTTCTGTGTTGTCTTAGGCTCTTAGGTTATTTTTTACCTGATTTACCTGAGGGCCACTAACCCTAGAGGCCTCGACGAGAACAGGAAGCTGGCGGCTTGTCAAAGGTCCCCCCAAGGGCAAAAGAAGGTTATGTTATCCTGCACCCTGATTGTTATTGCTGTTAGGTTTAAATTGCGTTAAATTAACTATTGTCCGGTGGATGTCGTTGTATTTCTCTGATCCTGGGGCTAAGGCAATAAAGTATGCCTTGCTTATGGCCTAATTACCAGTCTTTTATTAAGCGCGTGTTAGTTTTCATGTTTGATTGATTATCTTTAGTTAGATTATTATGATTGTTAGATTATCTTGAACACGTTAACCCAGTCCTCTGGTGTTCCTTCACGGCATTGGTTGCCTT